ACCTGGAGGACCATAGCTTGGAGATCCCCGTTATAGAGGAATAGAAGGACCGATGAAATGCTGGGGGTCTGGTTATAAACAATTCATTGGATGAAAGTCACCAGCATTGGCCCAGCCATTACGTCTCTGGGAGTCTTGCCTGTGGCTGTCAAGAGTCTTGCAAGGCCTCATGGGACTTGCAGTTCCTCAACACCTGGAGGGCCATAGCTTGGAGACCCCTGTTCTAGAAGAATAGAAGGACCAAGGAAATGGTGGGGGTCTGGTTATAAACAATTCATTGGACGAGAGTCACCAGCATTGGCCCAGCCATCACGTCTCTGGGAGTCTTTCCTGTGGCTGTCAAGAGTCTTGCAAGGCCTCATGGGACTTGCAGTTCCTCAACACCTGGAGGGCCATAGCTTGGAGACCCCTGATCTAGAGGAATAGAAGGACCTCCACTTTATTGCCTGGACTCGTTGGACGAAAGTCACCAGCATTGGCCCAGCCATCACCAATTCTGAACGTATTGTTCTTTTATGATTTCCTATGAAGGCCACCTCCATCAATCCTCAATCATGTGACCAAAAATGCTTCATGGCCACTAGGCGGAGCTGGCGATCAAAGGAAATCAAAAAGCTTTGGCAAAAGTACGTCTGGGAGAAGGCTGGAGACATTCCTCCAGGAATTGTCATGAATGGACCCCCGAGTGCCTGTGAACGCTCACACAACCAAATATACTCAATCAACAAATGCTACGGTCATAGAATGGTTCTACTTCTATCAACGTCTAACACGGGACAACACTTCACTGGTGGGACCTCAGGTCTCCATAGGAACTGTTCCTCACATCACGAAGATCAGCCATGGAGTTTTCTGAGGTGTATATCGGAGTGTGATTCCCACTGTGGGGGGTCAACACATGAATCATATAGAAGACCATTTCCCGCACCCGGGACACTGATACACCTTTGGGCATTGAGTGGGATCTCCTCTTATGGACAGTAAGATTGGACTTCAGAGAATAACATTTCCCGCACTCAGGACAGCAATACGGCTTCTCCCCCGTGTGAGTCCTCAGATGCCTGATAAGTTCTGATTTCTGTGCAAAGCTCCTTTTGCACTCAGAACAGGGATGCGGCCTCTGCCCCATGTGACATTTCAGATGTTTGGAGAGATAGGACTTGTCAGAAAAACGTTTTCCGCACTGAGGACAGGAATACGGCTTCTCCCCCGTGTGAGTCCTCTGATGTGTGACAAGTGTTGATTTATTCAGATAACACTGCCCGCATTCAGCACACGAATACGGCTTCTTGCCCGTGTGACATATTTGATGTCTGATATGTTGGGATCTCCACAGAAAACATTTCCCGCACTCAGAGCAGGAATAAGGCTTCTCTCCTGTGTGAGATTTCTGATGTATGGAAAGATAGGACACGTCTGAAAAGCGCTTCCCGCATTCAGGGCAGGAATACGGCTTCTCCCCCGTGTGAGATCTCTGATGTTTGGTGAGATCTCCTTTACGTAGAAAACATTTCCCGCACTCAGAACAGGAATATGGCTTCTCGCCTGTGTGAGATTTCTGATGTATGGAAAAATAAGACTCGTCTGAAAAGCTTTTCCCGCACTCAGAACACGAATATGGCTTCTCCCCCGTGTGAGTCCTCTGATGTTTAGTGAGTCCTACTTTACGTAGAAAACATTTCCCGCACTCAGGGCATGAATACGGCTTCTCACCTGTATGAGATTTTTTATGAACATTAACACTGGATTTAAAACGAAAATGCTTCCCGCACTCATTACAGGAGAACTTCTTATCTGTCGGAAGGCCGGCTTGGTCCCGCACAGTCTGAGGTTCCTCAGGATAAGAGGAAGACGATGGTCCATCTACACTGGGTGGTGCCGGATGAACATCAGTTGGAAGGACAACACCGTCCTTCACAGTTTGAGGTTCCTCAGGATAAGAGGAACACGATGGTCCATCCACACTGTTGGGCACTGGATGGACAATTGATGGAAGGTCTCCACAGCTCCTCACAGTCTGAGGTTCCTCAGGGCAGGAATACAGCTTCTCCTGTGTATGAGATCTTTTATGTACATTAAGATGGGATTTAAATCTGAAACATTTCCTGCACTCGGGACAGGAATGTGGCTTCTTACTCATGTGAGTTCTTTTATGTACATTAAGACCGGATTTATAACGGAAACCCTTCCCGCACTCAGTACAGCAGAACCTCTTCTCTGGTGGAAGGCCAGCCCGGTCCTGCACAGTCTGAGGTTCCTCAGGATACGAGGAATCTGATGGTCCATCTACACTGGGTGTTGCCGGAGGGACATTGGAGGGAGCCGGGTTTTCTCCTGGACTATACTGTGTGATGTCCTCATCTTCTACTTTCCAGTCTGGAGACAAAGTGAGACAATCCTTGGAGGTTTTCCTCATCTCCCGGCCATGGACTAAAATACAAAGACAAAGAGGATTACTAGACAGGAGCCCCACCAGAGGTCAAAGAGTGAGGATGGGGGGAGGACAACCAAGAGGAAGACTGGACTCATCCTGAAGACCACTATCATTGGGATATTGGCTCCTCCCCCCATCCTGAACACCACCATCATTGGGGTATTGGCTCCTCCCCAATCCTGAACACCACCATCATTGGGGTATTTGCTCCTCCCCCATCTTGACCCTGAAGAACACCAGCATTGGAATATTGGCTCCTCCCCCATCCTGAAGACCACCATCATTGGTGTATTGGCTCCTCCCCCCATCCTGAAGACCACTATCCAAACCATGACTCCGCTCACATCAGGCAGCTTGGTCTCTGAGGAGCGTACAATTCCACCCTCAAGGGAACTAGGAAATGGCTCTCCTACCAGGTCATTTCTTTATTCATGGACCTTAGTCAGAGAGTGAGGAAACAACCAGAACTGTCCTTTATAGGAGGGGACAGTGAGGAGGGGATTATAGGACGAGGGTCCCCACCCCCTCTATCACTCATCGCCATCTTCCCAACACAAGAAGTACTGCACTTCCTGATTTAGTCCATAATTTAGTCATGAAGAACAGCAGGGCTGAGCCTCACTAGAGGTCAGAGAGTGAGGAAACAACCAGAACTGTCTTTTATAGGAGGGACAGTGATGAGGGGATTATAGGACGAGGGTCCCCACCCCCTCTATCACTCATCACCATCTTCCCAAAACAAGAAGTACTGCACTTCCTGATTTATTCCATGATTTAGTCATGAAGAACAGCAGGGCTAAGCCCCATCAGAGGTCAGAGAGTGAGGAAACAACCAGAACTGTCTGGTATAGGAGGGACAGTGAAGAGGGGATTATAGGCGAGGGTCCCCACCCACTTGTAGTCCCTCAGTCAGGAGAGTCTAGGTTTAAGCCTCCTGCACACCAGTAATTTTAAGACAGATAGTCCCTGAACATAATCAATCTGGATAAGGTGGATTCCTCTGCCGGCTTAGTCGGGGCCCTTATGTTGGCACACCATGAAAGGTGCAGTCCCTTTTGGATGTGAAGTAGCGGATGATTCCCTTTATGAGGCAAAAGTGGGTGACACAGTTATACTTCATATATGTGAAGATGGTGAGGAGGGTCACTTTAAGATATGGAAATGTAGAAAGGAGTCTCTTTATCTTTTGTGGGCAGAATTCAGGACTATGTAATGTTGAAGTGTTGATGTTTGGTGGTTGGTGGGCCTCCTTACTTTGGTGTTCAAAGGGTCATGGACAGCTTACTTACCTATGAGAAGCTGCAGAGATCCAACACCACAGCCTCCCATCTCCTGAGACAGCACTGGATCTAGAACTATGCAGGAAGACTTTCACAGCACTCAGGACCCTCAGGATCCCCCACCCAGCTGATGGCAAACATCAGAGAAAGCAACCAAGGGAGACTTGCTCTGTCAGAGATCCTGCTAGACCCAGGCAAGGGGCAGGACACCCAAGGTGCATGCCCCAACTTCATAGTTTGAGGAACGCTTATGGTGAGATCCAAAATTTTGGTTCCAGCTGAACCCCAAAATCTCCATAAATCCAGTCTAGAGACATCAATTGTGTCTGCAGCACAGAGAAGGAAGATTATCCGAGAGTAATCCAAGAATATAGGACGGGGAACACAGCTCAGGAAAGTGACCAGGGTATTACAGGCTGATATCACCCCGCCCCCGCCCTACTCTGGACCAATCAGTGAGCAGTATGGGTGGAGGAATGGATTTAGTGTTCATGACCCACCTGTGCTGATCTCTGTAGGAGTGTCCTCCTCTATAAATGTCCCCGTTATTCCATCCTCCTCTATAGACTGCTGATCATCCCTCACATACGCCTCTTCTTCTGCATGAACTTCGGCTTTTATATTTATCAGATCTTCACCCTAAACCAAGAGAAGGATTGGAAATACAAGCTTTAATGATGTGAAGCCACAAAGACCAACATCATCTTCTCTGGTCCATACATCTCCATGCATCACTTTTATGTTCTAGATGTTCCTCTCCACCAACCTTGTTATGGTGAGGGATGGAGTGACCTTCCTGCGTGGAATCCCAGGAATACAGAGGACGGGGACATCTCTCTGGTGGGTTACCATGACTGGATCCATCTACCTGATGATGGTGAGGGATGGTGTGACCTTCCTGTGTGGAATCCCGGGAATACAGAGGACGGGGACATCTCTCTGGTGGGTTCCCATGACTGGATCCACCTACCTGATGATGGTGAGGGGTGGTGTGACCTTCCTGTGTGGAATCCCAGGAATACAGAGGATGGGGACATCTCTCTGGTGGGTTCCCATGACTGGATCCATCTACCTGATGATGGCGAGGGATGGTGTGATCTTCCTGTGTGGAATCCCAGGAATACAGAGGAGGGGGACATCTCTCTGGTGGGTTCCCATGTCTGGATCCATCTGTAGGAAACACACACACTGACTGAATCCATTGTTTCTATGTGTTTATCAGATGATGGGGGATCTAGGTGGATCCTCCGTACTGCTCTCTCCTTTCCAATAAAGTCTCCTCTTACCCGGTGATGTGAGGGGCGGCTGATTGTCCATCATGACGTCCTTGTAGAGGTCCTTGTGTCTTTCTAAATACTCCCACTCCTCCATGGAGAAATAGACAGTGACACCCTGACACCTTATAGGAACCTGACACACACAATGATACAGTCACCATTCAGACACATCCCTTGTCTGTTACTGTAGAATGTCTCAGAATTGCTGGCACCGCTCACCTCTCCTGTCAGCAGCTCCATCATCTTGTTGATGATTTGCCGAATCTTTTGTTGGTTGCGATGCCTAAATTTTAGGGAACGATATCGAGGAACTTTGATGGTCATATGATCCCCATACTTCACTAGAGGAAAACTCTGTAGGGAAACCAATAGTGATGTCATGTGACCTCCCAGAATCCTCCTCACCTCTCCGGTCAGGTCTGTGTGATGTCATGTGACCTCCCAGAATCCTCCTCACCTCTCCGGTCAGGTCTGTGTTTTATTAATAGAGATGAGAGTTATGTTATGTGACCTCCCAGAATCCTCCTCACCTCTCCGGTCAGGTCTGTGTGATGTCATGTGACCTCCCAGAATCCTCCTTACCTGTCCGGTCTGGTCAGTGTGATGTCATGTGACCTCCCAGAATCCTCCTCACCTCTCCGGTCAGCAGGTAGATGATCTCCAGGGTGATGTGTAGTATCTTCTCCAGGCTTTGACTTGGGTTCTCCTCCATCCTCATTGAGGTGATCATGTGATCTGTACGGGACACGCCTCTTCGTAGATGGGTCACTAACGGAAATGTTCTATCAGTTTTATTATCGCCACATCCAAGTCAGTCCACAATGGATGGAAAGCTCTGGTAGTGCCGATTCTGAATATCACACAGAACATAAAAGGTAATAATGGAATGTGTGTCTAGCAGGGGGGGGGGGGGTACGGTCCCATAGCACCCTGAACATAGCTGTACCCAGGGTGGGCTGCACCCCCCACCAAACACACATTTCTGAGTTGCCCATATAGTACCAACCCCAGTTAGATTTTAGGAACAGATCCGAGGAAAGCTCTCCTAGGCTCCTCCTCCCTCAGATTTGATGCACCACACGACACAGTCCAGGAGAAGATTAGGAGGTGTTCCCTCACTCTGCTCCAACCTCTCCAACCCATGGCCTCCAAGTGCCACATATCAAATTTGAGTTCTGGTCACCTCAACCATCCAGACCACTCATACCAACCTCCACCCAAACATCAGCTACCCCATCCCACCCAGGATAGCCCAAACCACAACCCAAGACCTGTCCTTGTCTTCTCCAACCCATGGTCTCCAAGTGCCACATAATCAAATTCAAGTTCTGGTCACCTTCAACCATCCGGACCACTCACACCAACCTCATCCAACCTCCACCCAAACATCAGCTACCGCATCCCACCCAGGACAGCCCAAACCACAACCCAAGACATGTCCTTCTCTTCTCTGACCCATGGCCTCCAAGTGCTACATGATAAAATTCGAGTTCTGGTCACCTTCAACCATGCAGACCACTCACACCAACTCTTACCAACCTCCACCCAAACATCAGCTAACCCATCCCACCCAGGACAGCCCAAACAACAACCCAAGACCTGTCCTTGTCCTCTCCAACCCATGGCCTTCAAGTGCCACACATCAAATACGAGTTCTGGTCACCTTCAGCCATCCGGACCACTCACACCAATCTCATCCAACCTCCACCCAAACATCAGCTAACCCATCCCACCCAGGACAGCCCAAACCACAACCCAAGACCTGTCCTTCTCTTCTCTGACCCACCTTCAACCATCCAGACCACTCATAAAAATCCTCATCCAACCTCCACCCAAACATCAGCCACCCCATCCCACCCAGAATAGCACAAACCACAACCCAAGACCTGTCCTAGTCCTCCCCAACCCATGGCCTCCAAGTGCCACATAATCAAACTCGAGTTCTGGTCACCTCCATCCATCCGGACACTCACACCAACCTCATCCAATCTCCACCCAAACATCAGCTACCCCATCCTACCCAGCCTAAACCACAACCCGAGACCTGTCCTAGTCCTCACGAACCCATGGCCTCCAGCAACAGCCACATATTAAATTCTCCAAGAGTCCCAGCCACCTCCAACCATCCTGACCACTCACATCAAACTGTACCGACCTCTGCCAATCTCCACCCAAACATCAGCCACCCCATCTCACCCAGGACAGCCCAAACCACAACCCAAGACCTGTCCTTGTCCTCTCCAACCCATGGCCTCCAAGTGCCACACATCAAATTCGAGTTCTGATCACCTCATCCATCCGGACCACTCACACCGACTTCATCCAATCTCCACCCAAACATCAGCCACCCCATATCACCCAGGACAGCACAAACCACAACCCGAGACCTGTCCTAGTCCTCCCCAATCCATGGCCTCCAACAATGGCTACATATTAAATTCTCTGAGAGTCTCAGCCACCTCCAACCATCCTGACCACTCACATCAAACTGTACCGACCTTAGTCAATCTCCACCCAAACATCAGCCACCGCATCCTACCCAGGATAGCCCAAACCACAACCCAAGACATATAAAATCTCAAAGACTGACCAGATGACCAGGAAACCTTTAGCTCAGCTTGACCGCTAAGCACGTTGGATGATTGATGAGTTCTATGTGGAGCGGTGACCTGTGACGTCTTCCACTGTACACAGTGATGTCACATGGTGGTCTCATCCATGTACTGGCACGGCCATTGTAGGGTAGATTCAGACGAGTCTTTATATTGTTTCCATGTTCCTGACGCTCAGTAAATCAGCTCCCGGAGCTGGTAGGTCCATATAACAACCGAGACGTAGTACGTAGGATATTTATTGGTGGGCTCCAAAATTGGATATGATTCTTTATTATTTAAAAACCATCAACACTTGTGTATGTGCGTGTACATGTGTGTATATATGTGCGTGTATGGAGGTCAATATTCCATTTATATATTGATATATTATTACATCTATACGGTCCTATTCCCTCCTCGTCTATCCCGACAATGTCTCCTCTCTGCTTCCTCCCGACTCTCCAATCTCAAGGAACGCCTAATTTATACCTGACATCACTTCCTGTCTGTAGGTATCATAGAGACTTGCTGTGTGCGTCCCCTTGGAATACATGCCATCCCCCCCTTGTGGGTGAATATAGGCGCTGCGGTTGTTGACCATTCTTTTTGGTTGGCTTGGCCTTGTTGTACATCTTGCTGGATCATATGTCAGTTGACCCCCCGATGAGTCTCAGTCCAACACATTATATGTTGTAGGTTTTGTGGTCTGTCCTAACGTAAGATACAAGTATTTCTGGAACAGATAGAGATTTGTTAGCCATTTTTATATATATATATATATACACACACACACTATATTGCCCCAAGTCTTGGGCCCTTCCACGCACATGACCTTTAATGGTCTCCCAGTCTTAGTCCGTAGAGTTCAATATTGGGTTGGCCCTCCAGGGGCAGGTCATGTTGGAACAGGAAGGGGCCTTCCCCAAACTCTTCCCACAAAGAGTTCCCTTCACTGGAACTAGGGGGCAGGGTACTATGCAGTGACGGGGTACTATGTAGGGACAGGGTACTATGCGGGGACGGGGTACTATGCAAAGAAAGGGTACTATGCGCGGACGGGGTACTATGCGCGGACAGGGTACTATGCGGTGACGGGGTACTATGTAGGGACAGGGTACTATGCAAGGACAGGGTACAATGCGGGGAAAGGGTACTATGTAGGGAAAGGGTACTATGTAGGGACAGGGTACTATCTAGGGACAGAGTACTATGCAAGGATAGGGTACTATGCGGTGACGGGATACTATGCGGGGATGGGGTACTATGCAAGGATAGGGTACTATGCGGTGACGGGGTACTATGCGGGGACGGGGTACTATGCAAGGACGGGGTACTATGCGGGGACGGGGTACTATGCGGGGACGGGGTTCTATGCGGGGGACGGGGTACTATGCGGTTGCTGGGTACTATGCCGGGAGTCCTTGGGGGGCTCCACACTGGGGAGACATTAGACTGAGTAGACACGCTGTACCCCAGGAAGAGGAGAGAGCAGAGTCCTCCTTCTGACCTCATGGGGCCAGAGACTCGTATGGGAGGACCACCTTTACCCCCCCCCCCCCACTTGGGGTCACCATTTCCTAATTTTTTTGTCCCAAACACAGCGCATGATTAAACACAGGGCAAGATGGGGGAGGGAGACCCACCCGAGTCCCGGGGAGGGAGGGATACTCACCCGACTCACCCAAGTCCCTGACGGCTGTCTCTGGAACGGACCGGTCTCTTTATAGATTTACCCTAAATCTGGCTACAGCCTTAGTGATGGTGGATCTCCTGAATGGGAAGCACACAGAAGCTGTTGTCATAAACGCAGGTCAGAGCTCACCACGCTGCCACCAATACGTGATGACGTCACCTATATAAAGAGAGATTTTCCAGCTTGAAGGACCACAATCCAAGTGCCAGCAGACTGAGAGAGAGTGACACTGAGGATGGTGAACCTGTTACCAACTACACAGCGGCCACCCTGCGAAACAAAAACCCTTCATAATAATGAATGCAACAAGTCTGACTGGTAATGAAATGCATGTAATACCCGCTGACACGCAGACAGCAATACCGCAGAGATTTACACCCTGGTAGAGCTCTTCAAAGAGACGGACATTCTTTACTGGCTTCACCCATCAGAAATAAGTGTTATAATATATTGTTTAATAAAGAAAAGGTAAAGCAAAAGAAATATCTACAGAATGGTGTGTATACCCGCTGCCACGCAGACAGGAATACTACACCATAGTAGTGCTCTTCAAAGAGATGTACATTCTTTACTGGCTTAGCAGATTACAAATAATTGTAACGATTTAAAAAATATTGTTTAATAAAGAAAAGTGACAGTGAAATATCTACAGAATAATGTAATCCCCACTGCCACGCAGACAGGAATAGCTCAGAGATTTACACCATAGCAGTGCTATTCAAAGAGACGGACATTTTTTACTAGCTTCACCCATCA